TCAGTTTATTCAGATGAATCCAGAAACACCCTGATCCATCAGTGTGTAAAGAATAGAATTGTGTTAAAATTAGACTAAATATGGTGATGAATACTCTTTAGCTATGGTGAATGACAATTTCATAATATCTGAATTCCTTACAGTCTGTGTGTTTAGTCTGTCTGCAGCGGTGTTGCTGAACAATTGAATTACCCTTATGGCTTGGGGAGGCAAGACACTGAAAAAGTAAAGCCCAGATCAAAGAGTTTTGTGGGCACCTTGCCAAAACAGAAGCATATGATGTTGGCAAAAAACAAGTGAAAACATACAGCCCAAGCCACCTTTGGAATTAGGATGAAATGAATGAGTTTCATTTCCAAAAGCTAGCTGGTCTCTTTTCTCCTTAACCTCAGCAAATCTGTGGGGCTGGTGAGTTGTATTACTTTGCCATATTACCTGCTGTAGTGATAACTATCACAAGCTCACTCTGCCTCTCTTATTCCCATTGCAGCCCAGATGTGATGATAAATAGTCTCCTGATCAGCTCTGCTCAGAACATCCTTTGTATCACAAGGGACAGACCACTGGGTGAGTGAGTCTCTCTTACAAGAGCATGGTTTGACAGAACTGAGCGCTTTTCATCTACAGAAGTAGCATTACACCAATATACATTGATGGGCAACTTTCTGTATATTTCACAGTAGTTCTTAGACTCGGTGCTCTGAGAAACTTCTATCTGTGTCTCTTTTCAGAACTCATTACTTACTGCTAACTTACTTTTCCCCCTTCTTTCCTTCTGAAGGCAGAATGCTATAAAACAGAGACACGGAAAAGCTTAAGATCCATTTTCCATAATAAGATCGACTGCTTCAATTCTTAGCACTCAGACTACCTTCAAAATAATATATAACTCTCCATCTAACTGAGACTGAGTTTCAGTTGTAATATCCCTTTTCTTGGTCCTTGTTCTTAATTTACTCACAAGGTGGCACCAGAGCTCAAAAGATGGGAAACGTCCTCTGGAAACTCTGTAAGCCCTTTGATAGCCTTCTATATATTTATCATTTATCTCATGAGCACAAAGCCAAAAGGATCACAACAACATTCATCGTGATAGGAAAACAGTAAAACTTTTTTTTTTTTTTTTTTTCATTGCCAGGGCCATCTAACAACAATAATGAAAGAATTAGTTGTATTTTACAGAATGTCTTCTACCTGAAAAAAAATCCCAATCCCTCAACAAAATTTTTACCATCCTGCATCACTAAAGGTGGCAGAAGATTCCCTCCCTCATTTACATGGTTACTTTGAAGCTTTATCCTCAGACCTCAGAGTATGTTTATGTTTGTAAGCTAGAAATCTACAATGTTATTTAAAATCATCATCATCATCATCATCACCACCATCATCATCTTGTTCTTCCGCCCATTCCTTGCTCCCCCTCCTTCACACTTTGAAATTACACAAAAGTAAGGAAGCCTTTGAATAAATTTCATTACAGATTTTGCTGTAACATGTTTCCTGACCTTTCTTTTCTCTTGATTTCCCTCTCCTCTCTTTCCTCAGTTCTAAGTGGCTGCATGACCTTCCTTTTTTCCCTCTAGGTGGAAGATAACAGGTCTAACACTCCCACAGAGAACTTAGCTAATAAAAAATAAGTTACTGTACTCCAATCCTAGTATACCTATTTTCATCTGATTGCCTCCAAAACATGACCTGTTCTACATCTGTTCAAACTTGATTAAAGTCTTCATTAATTTTACACAGAGTTTCTGACCTCAGAGGTGAGATTATGAAATACAAGCATGTATTGTGTTTCACTATAGCAGGGGTGAAAACTCTAGTATGCCAACAAAGCCTGAGGAAGCCTCCACCCTCAGAACCTAAGTACTGTGTAACTATTCACAACCTAAATACATTCAAATTAGTGTGGTGCATATTTGTTTGCATTTGAAATAAAATTTAAAATGCTTTAAAATATCTTTTCCTCTCATTTTTTCTTGCCCTGGCATTTAGTTCCTATTACTGATTAGGGAATAGCTGCAGAAAATGCACAAATATGCCTTCTTGGTAGATACCTGGAGACACGTGACTGAAGATGAACATAAGCTTAAGTTTCACACACCCTGTTGAATGAAGCTATTAGAAACTTGCATTTTGAACATACTTGCAATGAGTTTTGTCCTTCTCTAAGCAAGAAGATAAAACCAATTAAGATTCAAATGGCTTTTGTTCCCTTGATATCAGCAGTAATGGAGCTGCTATTACAAGTATTCTGATTGGAGTAACTTATTTTTAGAGCTCGACTTAGATCTTTTTGCTGATGGTCTTATTAATTTGAATAGAAAAATCTGCTTGTCTGCTTACTTCTCTCTCTCTGCACGTGGGCACATAGCCCCCTAGGGCAAGGATCCTCCTTCCTAATGTCAAGAAGGTAGTAAGTGCTGCTACAACTAAATCTCACAAATTTTAAGTTTAAAAATAGCCTTCGCTTCCACCCACAGCACCAGCGAGTCCTCTGGAGCTAAAATAGATATTTGCAAATCCTATTTTTCATAATACCTGAAGAAATTTCTGGACTATAGTGGTTGTCTGCAAATCCTCCCTATAATTAAGGACAGACATAAACACATCATAACATTAGAAACACTTGTGAAATGGCCATATGGGCAGAACTTGTTTACTCTTTGAATAACATTTTGAAAATTAACAAATTTTACTAGAATATGGCCTTATGTGAAAGTTGCACCCTCTCCATAGTGCATCACATAAAAGGCTAAGAGAACATAATGGACCATGGTAGCAGTAAACCTTTGATCCCACTCCTCTATGTAGACCTCCAGCAATCCTTCCTCTCGAGTGGATTTGTAATGGAACAGTGAGTGCCATAAGCAGAAATAAAAACAAATGTTTCAGTCAAGGTGGAGAAACTCTTGCCCCTAGGTAGCAGACATAAAATTCTATCTAGTAAGATATCTTGAAATTATGACAGCTGTTAGGAGTGCAGTAATGTACTGTATTCATTTTCTCAGTTCTGCAAAACAGCCTATCTTTAGAATGCTATACTTCGTATCACCACATTTACTGTGAATGAGAAATCCAGATACTCCCTTGTTTGTATTTTAAAGTGTAAGAGTTAAGTAGGGCTTTCAAAGAGAACATGAGGCCACAGAGTCACTCTTGAAGACAGCAAAGAAGTCAGAAAAGTGTCCACTTCAGGCAAATACTATTTTCTAACATTCTTAAAACTTTAATTGGAAGTATTTTTTTAAAGATCTATAATATGTTTTTCTCAGGCTGCATTCTTGCATTTTTTGACTTCTCCACTGAATACAACTTTTGAAATTCTTCTCTGTGTTGATGAAACCACATTCTTCCCTGTTGCACAGCTACAGCTCCCTTGGATTTCACAATGACTACAAAGGTTGAAGCAACAAGTGTTTCCCTGCTAGGCCTTATAAAGTACTTGTTACAAGTTAACTAGTCAAGACACTTTCAAAGAGTATGGGTCTGATGTGCTTTTCCAGTTGTCCAGAAGTCAGTCAACATTATAGGTGGTATTTCAAAACCCATTGATTAAAGTTTCCTCACTTTTATTAGGCTGTTACCAAAGGCAAAAATGTCAGCAAAGTACACATTATATTTATGATCATTGGTACAAGCACAAAAAGAAACCACAGTTGCAATTAATCATCCATACGTTACATTTTGTTGGCTAGTGAAAAAAGAAGAAAAGATAATGTCAAAAAAAAAAAAAAAAAAAAGAGGTTCTTCATTCCAAATTCATTTTGAGACATCTCTTTCAACTAACCTTTATCTGGAAGGGGAAACTTTCCTACTCATTATTTTATGGGCCAGGGTACTGATATAGTGAATTCTCTAGGCATCTGCCTTTTAAGAATTTTTTCTATTGCTAGTTCCACACTCCAAACTTGAAGGGCATTTTTTTGCTGCATCTGAAGCTTGTTCAAACACACCTCCCAGCACACATATTTTGCACATATTTTTTTTGTTCTGTTTTTCCTTTTTAATTGAAGTAATTGTCCCAGAACCTACTTTGGCCTGAATCTCACTCTTACACTTGGCTCTATGAGGACAGCATGGATTATTAAGAGAGTAAACTATGGTGGCCTGGGCAAAAATACCTCTTGGGTATAGAGGCAGACTTAACACACACAAGTCACAGTGAGCTTCAATTTCTCCACATGGTTTAGCATGTCATTGCTCAAACGAGCATCTGGTGAACCGCCTTACAAAGACCATCAACTTTTGCTCATAAAATGCTAGTGAAAAATGCTAAATCCCACTAGTGCACTTGGGGTCTCTGATTTTCAATGGCCTATTTTTCAACTCATTTTATTACTACGTACAGAGCATAATAAGTCTCTTTATTCTGAATTTAAATAATAACAAGAAAAAGCAGAGGTATCATTCATGTTTTTAGTATTTTTTTTTCCCATAAAGATGTCCATAAATTATTTACTAACAAGTTACATTCAGCTATTTTTTAACCTTTGGTTTACATGCACTTTAACTGAAATAAAATGGAAAAATAAAATGGAAAAAAAATCAAATAATAAAATGGAAAGGTTCAGCCATCTTGCATAAAGTTGTTACATTATTTATTGAGTATTTAAATCATTTGCTGATGTTTCTCCCATGTACTGTATGCAGACAATGTAATATTAAATGCAGAAAAGTGACAAATATTAAGTCTCACAGATGTTAATTTATTTTTAAATATTAACTTGCTTTACTTGGATGAAAACATTGCAATTCCATGACTAATCAAATAAACAGAAACTTGACAGCTTTCTTTGGCTTTGGATAAATAATGGTAGAAAGAGATATTCATGCCATACAGAATAAAGATATAAAAATATACGTTCCAGGTTACAGATTTTCCAGATTACATATGAGGACTAAGTACCACTCTAGGGAAACCTTGATGTGTATATCCCATATTTTACTTATAGATAGCAGAGATAAAAGATAAAAAAGATAAAAAAAAGATAAAAATTCTCAGTAACGGGGCTGGAGTGAATTGTTAGTTCTCACCGCATAGAGCCACAAGGATGCTTTCATAATCTCCTTTGAGTTCATCCTGTAAAAAAAGAAAAAAAAAAAAAAGAAAAAAAAAAGAATATAATTGTTAGGGTAGTGATCTCAGAGTAGAGAAAACAATTTTGCTAGGTATTCAGTACACATGTGCTAAACATCAACCCTTTGCCTAAATAAATTAACCACTTGATAATACAAATTTTATTAGAAGAATGACCTTGAAATGAGTACATTCACTGAAGCTGAACTACCAGATACATTTCCGGATTGGAGTCAAGGTACACAAGGACAACAACAACAACAACAACAACATCAAAAGCAGTAAGTGATAGACCTTATTGCACAAAAGTGAAGCAAAAAGGACTTCTGTCCAGGAGCTTAAGTTCTCCTTCAGTAAAATGAAAATGCCTCTCTTGACCTGTGATGTCCAAAGTTCATTAATAATAGAATAGTATACAGGATCAAAGAACAAGTAAAGTTGGAAGGAACCTGTAGAGATCATCTGGTCCAACCCCCTTCCCAAGCAGGATAACATACACACACCATACCTAAGATTATCTGAAACAGTGGTTAAGATGATACCAGATTCACCACAAAACTTATTCAGCTGAATGTTTGCTTAAATTTGAATCTACTTTTCAGAGACTCAAGAATTACATAGCATAGCCAAGTAAATCTTCAAGCCATTTGGAAAAAATCATCACTTTGGACCAAGATGACATGAGTATAATTAAGCCAAATGTCATCTTGCCTACATTCATGAGGGAAGAATATAAATTACCTTTCCTACTTAACTGGAAAAGTAGCAAAGATTACCGAAAACAAGTAGTCTCTTTTAGTGCATGGAGGCAGTATTTTTCTGCTCCAATAAAGACTTTTTCTTTAGTGTTATCTGCTAGCTTCCACTAAGATGCTTTACAAGTTTAGGCTTCTAATTGGGTATCACTGGTTTAATTTATCTTAGAAAATATATTAGGTGGTATTTTTGCTGCTATAACTTATTATTTTTAAATGACCAGGAAAGCAGGACAAATAAGTGTCAATTTAAAAGGTATTTTCATGAGTACTTCAGAAAGCCAAAGACATCAAGTATGTTCCACAGAGACACGCAGTCTCCCTCCTCTCCTCACAATGTGCCCTTATGCCTACGCAAAAATAGGCATTAGGACACAGAATGGTCTCCAAAAAACACTTGGCCTGTGAGATGACATCTTGGTACATGCACCACACATACCTAATTGCTACAGGTTTTATGACAAAAACAATCTCCCCAGAAAATAATGCTCTACCAGCATATGGATCACTGAGAACATTGCAGCTACAATGAGGTATTTGGGATGAACTCATGACTGAGGAGCAGAAGAGGTAATAAACCCCTTACTGGCCCTGCTGAATCATCCAGTTGTTCTCCTTCATAGTTCACCTGAGAAAAAACCTACCATAATGGCTTGGCGGAGAGAGATGCCATACAGCTTCTTGTAATAGGCTTTGATCTCATGCATGTCCACCTCAGAGCGTGAAACCATGATTCTGATGAGTGTTTTGTGTCGTGTCCCAGAGCCCTGTTAAAAGCAAAAAATGAGACTACTTATGAGATGGAAATGTCCACTTAAACCAAAGCTGTGTGTGTTAATCCATCACTGTGATCTGTGGAGATACAGGGTGCAGACCCTACGCTTTTACTTTCTTTGTTCCTCTCACACGTCCCTTTCTGCTCCCCACCAACAAAAAATCACTAATCATAAGTTATTCCACCAGCTGTGGACCTAGGATTTCCTTTTACTGCAGGTTTTTCCAGAAAAGATTCAAGTCCTTCCCTCTGCTTGCCTGACATCAAAGACAACCTAGACTTCACTGCTGTTGTTTATTATTCTTTTTAAGAATACAAGGAACTCCCTTTTCATAATGATATGCTGCTTTTCATGCCCTGCTCCTAACCAAGTCACAGGAGTTACATAAATTCATACTTACTATAATGGTGAAATGTTCTAGCTTTAAGAGTTCAGACAGCATCACTCAACTAATTTTCTAGATTTGTCCCAGGGACCTCAAATCTCCAGTCAAAGACAAGGCTCAATTGGAAGCCCTATATTCCCAGTTCTGGAATTACTTTCTCATTAATTTATCATTAGTATTTTTCACGGTTTCATAAAGAACACCAAAAGTTTAAATTACATCTCAGTCACTATCTGGAGTAACAGATATGTGTGTGTATATATGTATATATATATGTGTAGATGCCTTTGTCAATACACTATAACAAACAGGCAGCTCCTCCCAAGACTTAGAGGTCTCAAAGAAAGGAGGCAAAAGAGTAAGATAAATATACTAAATTTCTTCCTGCAGAGCTTCCTCTTGCGCAGCTTGTTAAATTTCAGTTTACAAAGCGCCCCTGCCCACAAACAGAAGTTCTTGGTCTAGGTTACCTTCATCACCAAGTGGAGTTTTTCAGCAAAGAAAGCAGGCTTGCTTGTGGCACACTTCACTGTAACGAAACAGTGAGATAAGATTACATCTGACATATATGTAATAAGTAAGAAAAGGCAAAAAAATGGTAAGATAGCACTTTGAAAGCAGTCTTTGTGCACCTACCAGCACCTTCTATTTATTTACTTTTTTTATGTATATGCAAAATATGAGAGAACTGACGGTTACTTTACCCATTCTGTTGATTCAGAAAGGAATTCAGCCAGGGAAGAATACTCTCATTACAGTAAAGACAGGATCGTATTACAGATCCACAAAGTTAAGAAAGATGCTGCAAGAATTTGCAGAAACAATTTGTTTTCTCTAAAGCAGTGTTGGGAATTATAATTTAATGTTTAGTAAACCAAATTATATTAACTACTTCCCATCTATCTATGATATTTAATGGGATGTTATAGGACTCATTTTTGTATCCAAAGTAGGTCTACCAAAGTATAGCTGCAGAGCAACTAAATCTACTTTCACACATCACCAGTATTCAGGCAGCAGTCAAATGCATAATAGGTACAACAGTCTGTCACGGGATCCTCTGCTCTGATCTTTCCCCTAAATAATTCCATGTGTCCATGTGTGATCTTAATATACAGGTTAACCATGAACAATTACAAGAATACCTACTTAAACAGGACTCCAGAAGGGAAACTGTCATGCTTTTATTCATCATGTTTCATAAATGTTTTGAAAAACAAGATTTAGAGGAGGACTTGTTTCAGTTTTATTTCTTCAGCACATGTCCAAAACTATAGATATTTCTGACAATCCTTTGCCGGTAGATCTATTTCACACAGCTCCTTTCTGCAGAAATCCTCCTCTGTCCAGAACATGTCTATTCTCCTTGTAAGACCCTTTTACATGTCAAGAGACATAATTCTATTCATTCATCCACTCTGACTTTAACTAACCCAGTTAAATCACTGAGTTCAGATTTTCCCAGATTAGACTTTATCTAGCAATTTTTTCAAGAAAGTTGAATAAAAACAGGATGGTTTCCTGTTAGACAGAGTGTGAAGAACTAAAAAATCTTTTCTTATATATATTCACGGTTACTATCTGCAGAACCACTTACCAAGGGCAGTAAGGCAGTTCTCAATATCACCCTTCAGCTCCAAATCCAGTACCTTGTTCATGTCATGCTGGCTGTATTTGGTGTACTTCTGAAAGACTAAATAAAGAAAGAAGATTCAGTGGATATTGATGAATATACAGAATTTGCCTCTTCCTCTTTCTGTCATGGCTTCTGCAGCTATACACACAGAGGATTTGTCATAGACCATATTTCTCATTTTCCTCAGCAGCACCTCTATTAAGAGAGGTGTTATGGAGTCAGGCTGAGAAATGGGACAGTGGAAAGACAATGGGATTCACACTCCTGTTAGTAAGGGGAGGGGCAGTTCAGTGGCACCATAAGTTTGAATCCCCTCCCAGCCAGGACAAACTCACTGGGGAGCATTCATGACTCTACCTTGAGGAATCCTGCTCCCTTGGACTTGTGACCACTAGACTTGGGATGTTCTTCAGTAATAGATATAGTAATAACTTAAGCTCATGCTATGGAGAGGACAGCCAAACTGTCTGTGCCAACAAACTAAGGATGTGCCAACCACATCTTTAGATCAGCAAGCACATTTCCAAGTATGCAGAGCTTTGCAGCAGTCAGAGTTGCAGCCCAGGAATCAGAAAATGAAATGCATGAGCAGACTACATTTACAATACAATTCCTGCCGGCACAAAGTTTCATCAAACCTACCCCGTCGAAGATGGGGGTAGCTTCTTGTTGTAAGAACAGTAACAAACACATTAATATCAGTTCCTTTTCTTTTCTCTCCAGCTTCATATAATGCCTGTTATAAAGAAAAGAAGGTAGTGAAGTCATTAATACAGTGAAAACTAAACAGAGAAACTATACTTCTGTAGCTACCATCGAGGGTAGGCAATTTCCTGTCTGCAGTGAGTTTAGTCCTTCATATAAACTACAAAATGATACAAAACACTTCACAGCCTCAGACTAACTCTAGTCCTATCAAGCAAAATTTCTTGAGAGCACCATACACCTACAAATCATATATTCAGGCTTTCTTAGAATCACCATCCAGCTCTTTTGGGTATATTATTTCCTTAAGTGAAGATATTTTTCATATCTTTTTCTGTATTTTTTAGATATTTTAGATATTGAGATATTTAGATATTTTAGATATTTTTCTGTAGACAAACAAAATTAACTTTCCAAAGACAAACAAAATTAACAAACAAAATCAAATGGACAAATATGAAGGAAAAACTTACACGCCAAGCACTCCAGGAATAACTTTAGTCAAAAGTGAGAAAAAACTAATCTATCTCCCTCATTTTCCCCACCTCCTCAAATCTCTCTAGAAATAATAATCAAAGACCTCTACACTGCATAAAACTAGGCACCGGCATTAAGGCCCTTTGGACAAAGGGAAACTTTATTGAACTTCAGTGCTTATACAGGGCATTAATTTATTGTCTCTCCATCCTAGATCTGATGACAAAACTAAGCTTCCTATGTAGTAAGAACAAGAATAATATTGCTCAATGAGCTTTTTTATTTGTAGTAGGTTTTTTTAAAAAAAGTATTTAAAGCCAGAATAGATTTGAACTGCAATAGTAATGCAAAGTTTTAAAGTGAACAGATTGCCAAGTTTTACCAAGATTTCAACAAAAAGCTACACTAAAGGAAGAGGAAATGAGAGAAGAAACAGTTGTTTGTTTTAGAATCATTAAAAAATCCTGTGATGTGAGCCAATAATCATAAGAAGTACATCACTGAAAAACAACAGCTACAGCTGACATGCTGTAAGAGACTATTTTGGATTGTGTTTGTCTCGACATTGTTGCTATACCATTTAGGACTTCTTGACATAGGCATCCCATCTATCAGCTCAAGGTGTTTAATCTCTGTATAATTTACTCCTTGACATCCCATCTGTGGGAGAACTGGGATATCTCCACACAATTTATGACTCCTTGGCATCCCGTCTCTGGGAAGACTGGGATATCTTATCTGCATACAATTTACAACTTCTTGTCCTTGGCATCCGACTTCTGGGAGGATTGTGGTATCAGCTCCAGGTGTTCTATCTCCATCAGCACGAGACCCAGACAATGCTCAGCAGTGCCTATGGAGCAGCGCTTGCACCCGAGCTGGGGGAAGAGGAGCACCCGAGCACACAGAAAGTGGGCAGACTCCTCAAGAACGGGAACATAAAAGCATTCCACCCCCCACCAGGGGTGTGTGGATTATCACCTGCACTGAGATGCCCGGCTTCTTTCCCTGAATATCACTCACTTGGAGGGGTACGGAACATCACCTGCATCGAGGCACTGAGGCACATATATCTGCACTGAAGCGGAGCCAACGAAACCTAGCTGGACTGGTGGTGGTGGTAACTATAATCTTGCTGCATCTCTCCTGATTGTTTGCTTTTCTTTCTTTTTTCTCTTCTTTTTCTCTCTGTCCTATTGTGCTTACGAGAATAAATCTCACAAGGTTGTATGGCATTTGACCTTGTTTGTGTCTTAATCTCACTCTTGGGTTTGTATCGAACTCTCCCTTGACACTGGATGGGGACATATGCTATAGAATTCAGACTGGTCAAACTCTGGTAACTGGTTCTTCACATTCATGAGTACAACTTCATCCCTCAATTGCACAACTGCATTTTCTTTTCATCAAGAAAATTTGTATCTAATTCTATCCTGCTACTGATCTCTACTTCCTATGATTTACATCCTTTACATGAACTAGAAAATATCTTGCAGAAACATTTTTGAAACCAGGCATAAAGATTTCCTTTAGCCAGTGAAACTTATGCAAACCTTGGAAAATAATATCCCTCAGAAAAAGAAACTACTATATGATGTACAATTCTTTGTTAGAGTCTGCGCGGCAATAGATAAAAGTATGTGAAAAGGAATATTCACAGTCGGGTACAACTTGTAATTGCAAGTTAAGAGAAATGCAGAAACTGCAGGGCACCAAGTTGATCTTACCCTGGCGTCGTTGTCAGCAAGCTCATCATTCACATACGGATCTTCACTTCGATCACCCTAAGTAAATAAATAAATGACAATTCACCATTCCTCATTATCATTCAGTTAATCAAAAACTAGCATTCTAAAGTTCTAGCCTGATATTCTTGTACATGCTTAATTACTGCAGAACCTTAACAGCCACAGTTTTGGTCAATTCTTAGAAGGAAGCTGAAGCATTTTCATCAATTTAAAGCTCATATTTTTAAGGCCATTAGTATTTACTTTCTGAAAGAGCACATTAGGAATTATCGTTAATCAGTTCAAGTTGTATGTCTCAGAAGCCACAACTCCCTCCCTGATTAACTTTATAGTGAGATGTCTTTGAAGCCATTTGAAAGCAAAACTTAAAATCAGTAGTATAAAAATGTGCATATCAAAACAATACATCACAAGTGTACAAGCTTCACTCATGGGATGCTCAACAGTCATGGAATCCAATGTTCACTACCTTTCCTCAGAGTCTTTTTATAACAGCTCTAGTGGTTAAACTGAACTGCAGCTTTTGAGCATCAGTTCACAGAGCATTTAGTTCACTTGTTAACTCCCATCATCCCACTCTACTTATATAATTTTATGCTGGAAATATATCTTAACTGCTAATCAAAGGTTTATTTCTCTACTTGTAAGCACCAGTTTATTTCTACTTCTCTTCTAATCACTTGATATGATATTATTTCTATTGCTTTTTCAAATGTTTGCAGTTAAGAAGAAAAAAGATTTAAAAGTAGATTGGACAAACAGTAACAAATCATATGTTTTAACACCGATTTTATATGGCATAATATGTGTAAGTAAAAAATAATGCAAGGAAACAAATATTACTTAATAAATAAATTCTTATATATCTTTCCTTAATGTAGTCTTAACAACATTAATCACTAATATTGGTAATGTTAGTGTAAATGTGAACAAAGCATACCTTGGCTAGAGAAACCAAAGCCTTCTGAAAGTCTCCAGATGTGTCAGAGATAATGTCTTGTGTCAGATCTCTCTTCAGCACTGAAATCAAACGAAAATGGATTGACAAGGTGCTTTAAAGGTATCATTCCTATCATTTTTAATTTCTTTCCTTAGCTTTTTTACTTAAAAATCTTGTTGGAACTGAAGTTTTCCTTGCTTCTCTCATTTACTTTTGAAAGAATGAGTATTTCTTTGTAACACACCATCTCGTTTCTGAGAAGTGCTGTGAAACTGGAGGTTAGATCCATAATCTGCTGAAATTGTCCTTCTGATGGGTCTTGTGGGGACGCCAGTCTGTTTGTGAAATGCTTTTCTGTCCCCTTGTCTTTCATTCTTATTTCTGACTATTCTAAAAACTGGTGAACCGTATACCACAGAACTGAAAACAATTATGAAAAAAATGAACTACAAATTTTGGATTCCGAGACACATTGGATGGAAATCTCTTGAAAACATTAGCCCATCAGGTCAGAGACATGAGATTTAATTAGAGAACACACAGTGATTAAACTCTACATAAGTGAGAGATATTAGATTATTAGATTATTAGTTACCTTAAAGAATCTCCCCCTCTAGTTCCTGCAATTCATGTAATCTGTATTGCTAACTCATTAGATTTTTTTTTCTCAAGATCTGTGAGTCCATGGGACATCAGCCAGGGCTTAGTTAGGGAAAAGAAAGGAAATTGGGTTTTACTGACTTTCTAGAACACATCTACAGCCAATGCATGCCCTACTCCATGAAACATTAACACTTCTGAGGGGGATTATGGGCCTTTTCCTTTTGCAGTGTGATCTCTTTGGAAATGAAAAGTCAGTATGGCCTCTCCTGCACCCTACCTTCCTACTAGTCTTACTTATCACCTAAAATGTCTGCTTAGTTTCTGCTATTGAGAGGTGAGGCTATGAGTGTAATATGTCTGCTACCATGCTGTTTTATCACTTGTGTGATACACAATAGATTTATTTTAATACCACGTATTAAGCTTGCAGAGATATACTGGTTATGGCTGTTTGGAGAAAAAAAAAAAAAAAAGAAGAAGAAAGAAAAGTTGTTGATAAAAGAATATGACTTTCCAGAACAGAGCCTGTACATTTTTTTCCCAATGCTGCATACCATTAATATTTTTTCCTTCTCTAAATTACCTTCTTTGTAGTATCTGCTGGCTTCTCTGATCTCTTTGTTGTTTCTTGAGGCCATAATCTCAATCAAGGTATCTTCATCAGTTCCAAGCCCCTGGTTGAATTATTAATAAGATTATTTAATAGAGAAAGTAAGAGAAAATGATGAAGAAGGATCTGAAGATCCTTCCCCACGCAGGAAGACAGAAAAATGAAAATCATTCCTATTTTCATATAATAGTTCTATTTCAACTCTCCTGGAATTTATCACATTGAACAACACAGGTATCCAGAGAAGTGCCAAAATGACTGAGCAATGCTCATAGAAGGTAAGAATTTGTAATCCATGATGAAAACTACCTTCCTGTTCCCTTTATTTTTTTTCGTATTTTATAGGAACCCATAAGTAAACACCATTGCTTTCTGCCACCACAGTAGCAACCAGTTTTCAGAAGGCAGAAATACTTTGTTCATATAAGAGAACAGTATTTTCAGTCTATTTCCTCCAACTCTGAAATTCAGCAGAGCCTGCTATGTCTCATTCTTAAACCATGAACTAAGCAGTATGGATTTATTTTACAAAATAGGAGGAAAATGAAGATATTATACAATCTTCAGAATGCGGATCCTCTATTATTTATAAGCCCTGATAATTATTTACTTTTCTTTAGGGAAGTTTTTCTTAAAAAGGTGGAGGTCCTTGTTTGTTTGTTTTTGTTTTGTTTTTTTTCCAACCTTCATAGAGGCCCTTAATTCTTCAGCATCAAACTGAGCTGGAGTTTTCAGTAAAGCCACAACAACATCTTCCAGGTGACTTTTCAGAACTTTTTTCAAGGCATCTTCCAGACTCTGTGAAAGGAAGAATGAAAAGGATATTAAGCTATCGAATGGTCAAATGATGTTGTCCAGCTATCATACAAAATTACATTTAACATTTAACATTACAAAGTTACATTTAACATCTGAAGAATCTTCTACATTACTCCTTTGGCTGCTTGAAAGAATTACAAGGGCCAATGTGAGAATTATACTTTGTCATATTCTGTTCATTGAAGTGTTGGGTTTTGTTCAGTACATACTCAGCATGATTTCATTCACATATTTGCAGTGTGAGAAGCAGACTCAGAAAAGGCTGCTCATTTTTTAAGAGAAGATATTACTACACTGCTGTTATGATGGTGATTGAGTTGCTTAAAAGCATATTATCTAGAGATTTCAGTTCATCTGTTTATTGCCTAAAGGATACAGAAATTGTAGTGAAAACACTGGGACATTATCTTATCCTATCCACAACTGCAAGACCCAAAGTTCAGAAGAGATTGCGAACGTATCTGACCTACATCCAAGTTAAAAAAGGAAAAAAAAGTTTTATTGTTCCCTCAATCATTTATGTCCCAAACTGTTTTTTGTTGCATCAAGTTGCAGATCTCTTCATCACCATATGTGTCTGTACACAGACGCAAGAAGAGTGAGAAGAGTAACCCTGTTTTGTCAGGGCACCTAACCCAATGAGGTTACCTCAGAAGCAAGCACTGTGTCGGTCAGTTTTGTTCTACTTTTGATGGTGCACCAGACACCAGCGTATCTAATAATCTAAGAGTATTAGGCTCCCTATGTCTTTGAAGATGTATTTTAATTTAGGCCTCAATAAAGCATAATTGCAATGCCGGAGTTTCCTCTGTGGGAGAAGAGAGATGTGAAACCACAAGCCAGATTTTCTGTACAGAAACACAGGAAATACGGGACAAAATGGATATTAGACTTATTTTCTGCGTTGTCCCTTGGAAGTCACTTACAAAGCAAAGAACTCCAGGGATTCCTAGGAGCAAAGGATCAGTAACTCTGTTGTGCCAACTGCACAATTATAATTTCAATTTAGACTGACAAGTTCAACTAGAAAAAAAAATTTGTTATAGGGACTTATAACAATTGTGCAGAGCAACTATACTCTTCTTTAGAAATATCCAGTAATTTCCAAGCTTCTCAGGTCCAGGAACTAATAGTTTTGCCACTAGAACAAATAAGCAAACTGCTCCCTGTGCATCTGTGAGTGTAAAACTCATAGCTCCTGAGTCTTTCCTGTCTAATTCCATATTCTACCAACATTTAAGTGTCCACAGAGAGATGATGCAAAGTTCCCTTATCTCTCCCTCCCTTTCTTCCAGCAGACTGTCTGCCAGGTGGCAGCAAAATTTCTATACGCCCAGTGATCAAATAACTTACAGGACCTTTAGGGCATGAAAAAGCTTGGCAGCTGAGAATATGAGATTACTTTTTCTTTCTGAAAAAAAACCTAATAGCCACTGTGTTCAAAGACTTATAATTGGCAAGGTAGTTTCCAGGTGCTATCTCCCCATCATGATTTTCATAAATTACAGAAATTTATTACTGTAGCCCTTTGTTCTAGGAAGCTAAAGTTGTACACACCACTAGACCCTTGGAAAATGTTGACATTTCAGGTATACATTTGCGATGGGTTTGGAAATACTATACCTTTCCCTTCAACTGCTGATAGGCACTTTTGATCAGCTGGCGTTCAGAATTTTTTCTTTTGGTTAAGATATCAATTATGGTGGCTTCATCCACACCTGCAAGTAACAAACAACATAATGTCTAATACATTGAAAATGTTAAATTTGATTTAACAAAATCATCATTCCTATATTTTATTCTCTGGAATGTGTTACATTTTGATTGTTTGTCACACTGAAGTTTAACCAAAGGAGAAACTGCAATCATCTACTGACTTAGTAACACAGAGAGAAAGCTGAGAGATTCCCCTAGAGCAGAAGCACAATTTTATATAAGAAACCTTAAAGTGCTCCCAGAGACAAACCTACACTACAGCATAACTAAGTAAAATAAACAACATTAGATGGCATACTCATTTAATCTCATCAAGTCAAATCAAAAAAGATTTCAAATTACAGCCAAAGTGTCCAATGGGAATTTGAGAAGCACAAGAGAGGCATATATAACAATATCAACATATTCACTACTTCTCACAGATTTTTTTAGAAATCAAATCAAAAAATATTAGATTGATGTGTCATAATATTATTTTTGATTCTCTAGAAATTAAATTACTAATTATTAATTACTCCACATCCTTTAACAAATTCTATAAACTTAATACAGAATTAAGGTCTGAAAATGTAATATAGTGTCATGTTATCAAAGAGATTAGATCCTTTCCCAGCTAGGAAAAAAAAAAAAAAAAAAGAGATGTTTTGCTAGGCTTACTCTCAAATTTTCCTGTGGAAGGATTCTAATATAATGGGTTAAATATTTAATTCTTCTTACCCTTTACAGTAATAGCCTTGTCCAGAGCAGCCGCATCAGCTGATGGATCGAAGGTAGGGTATGACTGGACAGGGTGGCTACCTTTTGAACTTTTCTGTAAGGAGAAAAAATGTTCATTCCAAAGAAAATTTACACAAAGAAGCAGTTCTATGTCCCTAAATAAACTCTGTATTTAGGACTGCCTATTATATCACTAGAAATAAATGAATTCTGAGTTTAGTAGCTACATATAGCTTAATAGACCCAATATAATATGAGTACTGGCTTTACCTCCTTTCACATCTCTTCTATTAAAAAGAAAGTAGCTCATATATTGTTTCAGATCCCTGAGGGCCTATTTCTCAGAGTTAGCTTCCACAGGAAACTACTTCCTAACTGCCACTTGAAGCAATTATATCTAAATTTAAAAGACTCTGAACACACAATTAAATCTTGCAGGCACTAACAGTAAAGAGCTACTAATATCCCCACTCATCTTATGCAAATTGACTGTGTGCCACAACAAAATGAATTCTCAGCTGACTCACATCTAAGATAACAAACACCTCCTCTAAGCATGATCCTAGTCTCAGAGAGGAGTTCCTTCCTGATCCTCAGAAGTGAATGATTGTTTACCCAACTTCTTTGAAGTATGAGACATAAGCAACACTTTCTTTATATGCAATACCTGAAGCTGCCCTTGGTTAATCCATTGCAGGTGCTGGACACTGCCTAGGCAATTTCTACAGGAACCTGGGCGTAACCGGCGAGTAATGAAAGCCACTACGCGACAGGCTATGTGCCTCGACCTAAGTCAACGTGACGGAAAATGTTACCATTAGGGCCTACAAGACAGTAAAACTCTCTAACCCATGTTCTCCTCATATCGTCTTTCTTCTCTTCATTATCTCATTACAGCAGCTAAAAAAGTGCTCCGAGATTCTTCGATGAAATACTTGCGTGTGAAACATAGTAAGATCTTTTAGAACACAACAGTTGTTTAGATAAACATTTTTAGTATCAGCTGTATTCTCTGTCTCATATTCAGCAACCCATTATTAGAATTACTTTTTTTTAAAAAATCTTTTAAGTCTAAAGTTAATTAGTGCAAGACAAATGATAAGGTCTGAGCTGTACATGTCTCTCATACAGCATTCTGTACTGATTTTTTCTATGCTTGTAATATCCAACAGTTATATAGTCTTCAGTCTCCAAAATTTTATGATTGAGGGTTGTATTCAACAGAGCATAAACCACGCACAGTTGTTCCTTGCATATCTCAAAAAAAAAAAAAGGAAAGGAAAAATTTCCCCGTGACTCATTTAAGCCACTCATTCAGAGTCTGGATCTGAGACTAGACAGACTAGCATTTGTGTGCTAGTTTCCATGACAAATTTGCTAAATAAAAAGTAGCTAAATTAAAAACTGCCTGTAACCACCAATAGATATATCATGGAGTTATATTATGACTTAGGACCCTGGAAATGCAAAGTGGAGGCATTGTGGAGTCAAGGAATTATGCACAAAACACTGATGGACAAAATTTACAAAGTCCACAAAGAAGGACTCCAGTAAAAAAAGTTTGTTTACTGAAATTCCCTCCTATACTCTATTTTTTCAAGATGAAAGTTGCTTCAAAGTCTTCTGTGACTTCACACCGTGCCCCTTTCCTTGTGCTGACAGGCATTTCAGTATCCTAATCATCTTTCTTATCACAAAGATGCTCTGGATCCTCCTAGTGCTCTAACTTGTAATTTCCTATTACCATCAGCCTGCCTTTCATATCCCTTATGAGCAATAGCAGTACTGATGATTTGAGATGTTTTATCACATACAGCGACTCTTCACATCCCAAACATGCCATCACTTATAACAGTGGCATTAGTTCCTCCTTTGCATTCCTGGGCTCCAACTCATGGCTTTCTGCACCTCAGTCTATGCATCTCCATCTTCCCTGCAGACATCACCTGAACAGGTTCTTCTGAACACATTCACATTCACACTGTCCATTGATGACTGGACAGTGGAAACAACATTTCCACTGCAGTAACTGGCTCTGCCTAGAAGCTAATAACTAGGCATCAGAATGTGTACATAAAAATATTTTTTCATCTGATACCAGAGTGTTATCAGAGACCTTTTAGACTTATGTTGTAATAAATTCCTGTTCTGATTCTAATTACAAAATTTTGTCATAATCTTTCCTCCCCTTTGAGTCTATGAAAGGAGTTTGTTGGCCTATGCATTTAAAGCACTTCTAAAAGTACTTTAAAATAAGCATGATGAACTGAAAATGTAATACTTACAATACACTCCTGCTCCTGGTTTTCCATGAACCACGCCTGCTTCAGAAATTCTGATACCATAGCCATGTTGCTGGATTTCCTGAGAAGAAATGTATCAAATTACAAACCATTTTCTTTTCTTCAAGCTTCTTCTTGCAGTCAGTACATTGCAAAGTCTTTATTGAACCATGAAATACAGAATTAGCTTCCCAAGCATTGATCAGTTTGTGCTATTGAAAAGTGGTAACTTTTGATTATGATATTTACCAAATGATGTAACGTCCTGTAACTGTCTGCTCATACATACACTCATTGCTACTTTCACAAGTTTTAGACTAGAAATTAAGCACCAAACTAGTTTGACTGTTTGTTTATTTAGTACAGTAATACCTAAGTGTTAGCACCACCTTCCAAGGAAAGTTATAAGAAAGAAATTGTCTTTCTCCATCATCAAAGATTCAAATATCTTACTCAATACTTGATTATGTTCACAGTCAGTGATAAAAAAAAGTATTCACATATGATTGTTTACTGAGTTGTGTAATTTGTTAAGACAAAATGTATTCCCCCATTAGATATATTCTCATCAGACTTTTATGAATAGCCACTTCTTAAGAAAGATAAGGAGAAGCAGTTTCTCACATCTCTCATTTCCTATTTTGCATATACATTCTCCATTTTCTACTGAAGAATTGTTAGTATCTATACAGGAAAAAAAATATTTTTTGCTCAATCAGGCCAGCTTTTCTGTAAGATTTTATGCACAATAGGAAAAAAGCAACAGGGAAGTGACCTGCAACCCACCACTCAACAGTAACGAATACATTGCTTTGCAATAAGTAAAAAAAATCCAACGAAATGAATTTTTCACCAAAATACATTTTTCCACAGAAAATTCTTGGGGAGGCTTGGTTTTATAGCCCACATATAAATAATAAATTTAAGATAATGCTGCCTGTTAATCCAGTATGTCTTTGAGGAACACCTCATATATCTAGCATAAAGAGACCAATTTCTGTTTGCAGTGTGTATTAATCTAATGGAGGTCTTGGGCAGAAGTGTCTGTCTCCCTGTTCAGCTCCATCCCAGGTCCACCCTTCCCTGCCCTCTGCAAGGTAGGACCCAGCTCCTTCCCTCTCCCCAGGAATTCCCACTCCCCTCATCCTGCAGGCACAAAGTTCATCTCTAGTTTAAAGCGCGGTCAGTTTGAGGACCAGGACCAATTTTTAGGCACATATAATATACATCGGATCACCAGGAGGGATGAACACATCTCCGTGTTGGGATTCAGAGTCAATAAGGAGGATACAGCTCCACTGCAGCAGATTTGTCAAGAAGCAGCACCCCAATTGCACTTGGGTTGACTGTGCGGCGGGGGGAAGGAAGCTGGCAGGGTCAGACCCTCACCAACTCCTGGGATTTGGCTGCTCTTGGGAACCACTGAAGCAGAGGGCTGCTAACCTGCACTCCAGAGGAGTCACTAAGCCTCTAAATTCTTATACCTATTCAATTTAAATTAGAGATGCAGCAAAAGAATTCTGTGTCTTAAAAATGAAACTTATTTCTTCTGCTTTTATAAACAAAGACACTCTGGCATGTAGATTCATCCATCCCAGTGCACAAGTAAATTTATAGTTTAAAGTGAAGCTAAAGTAGACCAACGTTCTTGGGAAGAGTTAAAGACTTTGCCTATCCTAGCTTGGAAAGTTAAGAAACCAGTCTACGTGTAAAATTGTTCTTTGCCTCCTTTGTAAGAAACTATGACTAATCCAGAAAGACTGCAGGAATCCAGAGAGAAACAGCCACCCCCCGCTAGCAGGGCAGAGGCCTTTCCCAATGCTTTGACCCTTGTCACTCTGGAATGCAAATAATTCATGTAAGCAAAGCCTACATTTAAAATACACAAATTCAGAGAAAAAAAATCATTAAGAAGAGGAGGTAAAGAACTGCTAGCTTTCTACCACATTTTTTTCCTCAAAGTCTATGAACAGGCATGAAAAAAAAAATCTACAGAGCGGTACAAACAGAAAGTAACATCAAAGACGGTTTCTTTCTGGTTATCCCATACCACACAACTGTTTCAAAGTTCCTTGATTTAATAAAATATTTCCAAAATGTGTGTCCTACTACTTAAATTGGAAACTTTAGGTATCCCAGTTAAAAGGCTACAGAATTTAGTTTTTCAGTTTGAAAAATATCATGCATTTTATCATTCCAAATTGGAATGACCAGTATTGCAACTGGAATGACAAATCAAGGGGATATTTGGACTAAAAGTCATTAATAGTCCTTGTATAATAATTACTGCCAGGTTTTCTTCAGTCTGGATGGCATTCCCTGCAATAAACTCTTTTGAGTTGGACACACTGAAATTCTAGAAGGTTTTCAGAAAATTAAAATTAAATATTTATTGAAAATATTTAAAGACTCAAACTTTTCCACTACCTCGTCATCTCTAGCAGCTTAAATCAAGTTAATCTGCACCATTTCTCTATAACTATTTAATCACACATCAGATACATTATCTCTGATTATGGTCCTATGATGGTTACCAGAATCTTAATGTAAATTAAGATCATATAAACCTATCAGAAAAGCAGGCAGTAGCTGTAAGTACACAACTTTTTCTTTCTCTTTTTTTTTAACAGTGGGAAGCTTCCATGTATAAAAAAATGAAGCATCAGAGAAAAAAACAGTCTCACCATTGGAAAATGCAGTGGAAAGTGTTAGCAAACCAAACCTCAGCCCTTATTTCTGTGGCTTTGCACAAGCTCTTAGCTATAAACCAGATTTTTACTGTTAGGTTCTCTAAAGGTTCTTGTACGTCATTTTCTTCATTCTCATGAGAAAAGACTAATCTACTGTCCCAAAGCAGGTAACAGTCGTGAAGTCAATGCAATTATTTTTTCTTTTAATTTCTCATGTAAAGCACATTTGTTTTGCAGTGACTCCAGTGTTGCTGCAAATACATTTTTCCCACAGCGGAAAAGTGGAAAAGAGAGAGAGAAAGAGAGAGAGAAAGAGAGAAAGAAAGAGAGAAAGAAAGAGAGAAAGAAAGAGAGAAAGAAAGAGAGAAAGAAAGAGAGAAAGAAAGAGAAAGAAAGAAAGAGAGAAAGAGAGAAAGAGAGAAAGAGAGAAAGAGAGAAAGAGAGAAAGAGAGAAAGAAAGAAAGAAAGAAAGAAAGAAAGAAAGAAAGAAAGAAAGAAAGAAAGAAAGAAAGAAAGAAAGAAAGAAAGAAAGGAAGGAAAAGTCAACTCCAGTAAGTTTACTTTTATCTATATAAGTTACTTTTTCACATCTTTATGTACATCAAATAAAAGCAGTGTCTGCCTAAGCCCTTCCATATAAATGAAATATTTTTAAACTGAAACAATTTATTCTGCCCACAGCCAGCTTTTCTGCTGCCAACAAATCCAGCTTGCAGAAAACTGCACCAGATCACTTCAGAAACATAGTGAACAACTCTTAGAAGTTTGTCAGCCTTACAGAGAGCAGCTAAGAACTACAACAACCTACCTTCTGCCTCGCAAACGTTACTTTGCAGGACAGCACAGCCTGGAAGAAGAGAGCGGAGGGCTTGGGATGGTTTTATAGCGAGCTGCAGGATGCCCCACCTAGCAACGAGTGTTTCCACAGCCACAGCAACCGCTGGAGGCCACCGTCCAAAATACACAGAAACATACACACGCACACGGGGAAAAAAAAATAAAAGAGAGAAGTCATTGCAAAATCATGCCCTGCAAGAAAGCAGGAGCAGATTTCATCAGGGAAAAGACTCATGATCATGTCTTGATAGCTTCCAGCTTCCACCAATAGGGCTGTCATTGTAGAAAATACTCTTTTGGGGGGAATAGGATTAAAGTACTAAGGAGACAAAAGCCAAGCTTTAATTACTCCCTTGACATTTTGACACCTCTTATGTAAGTTAAAAGCGAACACATTAGGACACGCCATTCCCCCATGAAAATAAAAATGAAATAGTTATCATGGGTTTTTGTCTTTATTGAGTTTGGGGAGTGCTGGCCACAAGCACGTCCCAGAGCACGTCCAGCACGGCACCGGGTGCACATATCACACACATCTTGGCTGGCACAGCGTGCCCAGTGCAGAAATACCAGTCCCAGAGCAGGAAGTGAAGTGCTTGCATCTAGTGGCTTGGTTTATCTGCCCAGCATCGGTCTTGCTTGCTGCTGATATAAACCTACTGCACAGCACTGGCAGCTGTAGAAAGGGGAAGCAGGCCTGATCTCCTGCTGATAAAACTGTGCGAAATGCAGCCTCTCCTGTGTTTTGCAATTAATAAAATGAGGCAGGAGGGTTAAAGACTGCAGGACAGTGTTACAGGGGGCACTTTTAAATGATGAGGTTGCAGCACATCTGTGCATAATTTGCTCCACAGAAGGGCTGTTACAAATCTGGAAACAGACTTTCTCTCCTTCTCTCTCTCTCTTTTTTTTTTTTTTTTTTTCTTTATGTCCAGTTTCTAATTTAGCTTGTGGTAGAGAAAGCAGGCTGCCCCATGCCCTGCTCTTTGCCTTTGGGGAGATGGGCCACAACAGAAGCCCCCACGGCACCAGGAAAATCGCTGTCCCCTGCTTGTAGGACTTTCCTTCTCCCCTTCACACTGTTATTTTTCGGAGGTATTTCAGGTGACTTCAATCAGCTGGATAACCAAAAGGGTCTGCCAGTTAGTAGTGATATTGTTAGCAAGCACACAGGTTGCACTGGGCTTTGTTTGCTTAATTATTCTGTGCAAAAATTGGATTACTCCTGACCTCACAAACTTCTCCATTTCAGTATGAAGTTAGCATTCTTATTTTAGCGGTTTCCAGTGTTGGCCAAAAACCTTTGTTTACACTCTTTTTCTGGAACTGTTTCCCCTGACTATTAATGAACATTGGCTAATTGCAATCCATTTACACTGAAAATCTGGGAATATGTGTGTGTCCTGGTGTTTCCAGCTGAGCCTTTTGAAGTCATGAAATAACCTAGAAAGAAAAGTTATGCAGATTCAGAGCTTCTTTTTGAACTACTGGCATTATCTGAACAAGGAAAATAATACAGCGGCATTTACTACAGGCCTGTAAGGACAGGAAACAGCAGGTTAGAAGTACTTAGTAAGACGTTCTTTCAGGTAAACTCCTTTTAATTTTCTTTCTCAACAGTGGGTGTACTATGTCGGTTTCATCATCATAGTTTTCCACCTTTATTTTATTTACTTATTTCCTCTCTCAGGCCTGTCTTTCAACTTTCAGGGCAATCTGACATGTAGCCATTTCGCTACAATTCTTTTCGGGAGCTGTTTGCAATTGCTTTTTCTCCTTTCTAATGGGCGGAGATGTTGACTCATCGTCTTCCTGCAATTGGAGTGAGTCATCGTCGGACAGCTTTACTGTACAGTACTCTAAAATTGCAGTTAAATTGGAGGGAAGCTAAACATTTGTTAGCTGTTTAAGAGTAATTCCATCATTTGCTTCACAAAACTGTAATAATCTGTGCAGAGCTATAGGTTCTGGTATTGTTTATTTAAAAGCACTATTGCAAAGCTACTATCATAATAAAAATGATTTTTTTTTATGCTGTCAAAGCCACATGCCTCAGATACTGCTAGTATAGTATTTCAGTACAATAGTCACATGGTATAAAGTATGATTACTACTGTGAGAAATGGAAAAGTACTCTCCCAGATTAAAAACAGAGCATGACAAAAACACCACCTTTTGGTAAACTAACAAATTTGCCCATACAAATATTTCTCTTGTGGCTGCTGGTAAGAGCTCAAACAGGGTAAAAGACTTTCCCCAAGCCATTCATCCTACAGAGAACAGGTGAAAGCAAAATAACTTGGGAATTTCTTGGAGTCCTTATGTCTACTTCAGAGGCTGATGTCTCCCCTGCCCTAAAAATGCCCTTCTGTGTGCATTTGAGTAGGAATGCCTTAAAGAGGACTTTTTTTTTCCCCCTCCGGCATTTTTGGGGAATTTGGATATGGGTGCAACTGCATCCATCTGAGGAAGTTCATTGTACTAACACTTTCAGATTACCCGTGAGATTAAGTATTAAGTGAGAACTGATGCTTATTGAACTGTTCTGAAATAGCATTGTCTTGCAGGAGTGCCTGAGTGTACTGAGATAATAAAGGGAGTCATAAAATAGAGCTCTGCCTATTTCCCACCAGGTCAGTCATCCGTACGGCGCCAGTTGATAACAAGCCTGAACAAGCTGGAAGCTGCCTCTCTGGTCTTTTGCATGTGTGACTTCGGTCATCCTCACTAGTTTTTACATACACCCTGTGAAACTGAGGATAAATGCATTACTCCACTTCCTTAGATAGCAAGAACCTGCAGGGCAACCAGCTACACTCAGGTATCAAGTAGCACAAACAATGATGTTGATGATGCAGATGCACATGATGTCACCACCATATGAGTTACAGCAATATTAACAAAGACAGTAATGACTCCGGCAGGACTTTCTAGAGCAAACCTTTCTAGAGCTTAGTGCTTTCCTCACTAAGCCATATTTAGGAAGGTATAAGTTCCTGTGTTAGGATGTGTGTCCTTGTTAGATTGTTCAGATAAAAAAAAATCTTTTCTGCTTACTGAAGTGAGTTGCATTCTCAGATCTTCCTCACTGCCTTTGATACTACAGCAGATTAAATTTCAGTTTTAGAAAAAACAACTGCACAATCTGTTCATTTGCATCTAAACTATGTAATTCTAGGTAGGTCTGTGTATAGTTGTGCTGTATTCATATTTACAATTTATATAAATACACAATTTTACTAATTATTTGTGTGGGTAGTATAGAGCTTCAAATCCAATCACAGATTTTCCATTTTACTTCCATACTCAAGGAAGGTATGTATAAGACAGGTAATCAGACTGTGGCTTCTGTGTTAAAGGATTTGCTTTAATTGATTTATTGATGCAAATGAGACTAAATTTATCTCATCTAGTGCACATTTCAACAGTTGGCCTATGCCAATTTATAAATAGAGAAAAGATAGCGAAAACAAGCAATACGTGTTTGTATATATGTACATAGTATTTCAAATCACTTCATAAATATCTTTGAGGAATATTTCTAGCTAGGATTCTTCCTGTATTTGTTTTAGCACTGCACGAAATGTTAATCATTCATCTCTCTTTAATCTTGGATTAGCCAATAATTTGTTAGTGCCTCATGAAATACTGAATTGGCATTGATCCTCTGGCAGGAGAAATTCTATGTTTTAATCGAACATGCACCTTCTGTCTATAACTAGCTCAATTACTTACTATTCACTCAGCTATAGTAAATACCTCACTGTAGCTCAAGAGTTTTCTAGAAGTATAAAGGAATTTTCAGAGTCTCACTGTAAACCATAGCTTGGCTTTTCGGAAAACACAGAATGTTAGTAAACAGTCCCATACATGACATGACAAAAGGAATATTAGCCCATGCTGCATGAGGAACAGGCAGCTTATCTATATGTGTTTACACCTCTGTCTCATCCGGGGAACAGGAAATTCATTCTGTTTAAACAAACTGGATCACTGTTGCTGATTTCAGTGAGACCCAGAAGTTCATCTCAGGGATGCGGATTGAGAAACATTTCCAGAAGCTTTCTTGACTAGTCAGAGAGCCTTCCAGGCAGAAGCCTGGCCTTTGCTGTAGTTGTGTGCCAAGGAAATTTATATGAAACTAATTTGAGCTTTCTAGGAAGCTACTAGGAATAAAAGTTTTGGAAAACCCTGGTTACACAAATCCTCTTCTAAATTGGCAGTGAAGTAAACAAATCTATATAATGATGAAGTTCTCAGTAGTTAATTCATGTATCCTCCAGGCCCAGGTCTATTCTCTCTCTCCTTTTTGTTTGGTAGTACCTCACTGAGGAAGGCACAGCTCTATGCAAATGGAGTGGGACTCATTGAGTACCAAATGGATGAGACAAGGAAGTATGAGAGTATGAGTCTTCTACTGGCCTATACTGAGTACTTAAAATGCTATTCAGAAGGGCACTTGTGGCAGTGGCATTCAAGAAAAGGGAACACAGATGGCATTTTTAGAAACATAGAAATCAGTGACTGCCATGGAAAGCCTAGAGCCTTCATGGGGAAAAAAATGGGTTTTGTCAACCAAAAGAAAGGTAAGCCAGACTGCCACAGCTGGTCCTTGAACGGGAAATTCAGCTGGGCAATGTCTTCCACTGAGTCCACGAAGTAAATATTAAATAGTGCACCACATCTTGCCAGATGGGTAACCCAGCTAAAAAATAGCGTGATTGTAACCACAGAGAAATTCGAGACAGCTAGCAAACCTAGCAAAAAGGTAATGAGAAAATGACCAGTCTGTGATATTGCAATGTATAGGTTAAATTTGTCAGTCCAGGACTTTAAAGCTTTACTTGTCATGATCTTTGTCATCCTCCAACTTGCTACACAATTCTATTACTATTTCCATGTTGTCCTTTTTCCACAGATCTTATAAGCATGTTTTTCTGCCCTATTTGCTTCTCCATGTTGAAATATGTATCATTTAGTGCACACATTGACGGTAACCAT